GGGGGGCTCTGCAACTTACCTGGCTGTTTCTTGCTCCTCATGGCCCAACTGAGGACTGCTGGGAGCAGGGGGCGGGGCTTGTGGCACGTGCCCGCCCCCTGGGCTCCTTTTACTGCCGGAGCTCCACTCCTGTGCGCTCCCGCAGGAAATGACCCCTGGATATTTCAGATCAAAGCATGGGCTAAGGAATTTGAAGAAGTAGAAAAAGAGCTCTGTAACGGTTACCTTCGATATGCGAACGTCTGCCGCTGCCTCATCGGGGCCCACCCTTTTAATCAAACGGATAGGACAAAGAACAAGTTTGAGTCCTGTGGCCCCTTTAAGACCAGCAGAGTTTTATTCCTGGTATAAGCTTTCGTCTGCAGGCACACGTCTTCAGATACATATCTGGAAAAGAGGGCAAGCGCGCAAAAGTTTATACCAGAAATAAAACTTTGTTGGTCTTAAAGGTGGTGAATCGATCTGATAGGACAACGAGTGTTTGAGCCCCAGGGTATTGTCAAGTTAATGGGAAATCTGATAATAGGGGGGCATTTGTAGAAAGGCTGTGAGGAAGCAGATTGAGTGAGGTATAAGCCAGTCGCTGCCTCCTCCTCCTCCTCTTCCTCTTCTTCATCTTCTTCCTCCTCCTCACCCTGGTCAAGATAGATGTGGAAAGGAACTGTGGGGCAGGCACTGCAAGGTCTTAAATTCAAGCAGTGATGCCACTTGGGTAAGATTTTGACTGACTGCTTGAGCTGGAATGCCCAGTGCCTCCTATATAATAGCCAGGGTACAGTGTGCTCTGCAATTATCTGTAGAAAAAAGTATTTGAGACTTTTCAGAACTAGGAGGATAAAATTTCAGTTTAATTAAAGAACCTGTTGGGCTAATCCTCCACAGAGTTTTGTTTTGAAGCAAGGAAGTAAGCTAAATAGCCACAGTCCTCGGGACCTCTCATTCTATCAGCAGCACCCACACACACACACACACACTAAAAGGTGTATAATAATAATATTTGGCAAGAGTTGTTGCAGACATCAGCAAAATTAAAGCATTTTTTGAAATGGGTACTGTTCCCTTGCAAATCCCAAATCACTTGGCATTGGCTCAAATATCATAGTTGAGGCTTTGGAGTTCCTTAATTTTATTGCTGTGTATTCAAGACCTGGTGTGTTGTACTAATGACAGTGTGTGCGCGCGTGCGTGTGGTGTTTGATTCCCCCCCACACACACACATACACACTTTTTGTCCTTTTGATTATTTTCTTGCTTTGTACAGATTTTAATTTCATCCTCAGTCTCCCACTCGGTGAATATTGCTTTGTGAAACCAGCACCTGAGTCTGATTCTTATTTTACGTATACATTTTTCTTTGAGGACTGTTATTGTGGCTTGTTGACATGAATTGTTCTGCCTTGGTTAGTGGTTGCTTTGGGACAGCTCTTAGATGTCTGCCTGCTGGTGCCCAAGAAAAGCTCTGCTGCTGCTTGCTTGGGCATGACTGCAGAAGATATATTACGGTACTGAACTTCCTTCCTTTTTTCTTTTCCTACAACTGAGTTCGACGATTGACTTGACCCTGTTGGTAGTGTGTTTTTTGTGGGTTTGTTTAAAAGCCACGTTTAAAACATGAACAATGTAAAGACAATTTAGTAAGTAGTATTTAAAAAGTAGTTTGAGTTTTCTTTTAATAATGCAGAATCCTTTTTTCTTTTCTTTTTTTGGAGTGGTTTATCAATTAAAGTTTTATTGAAATTTTGTTAACACCATGAATATGAGACCAATACAAAAATAATGCAAGAATACATTGCAAAGTTATACAGCCTATGTAGTGGAACAGAAAAAAAAAGAAGAGAAACAGGGTATAAGTACAGTAACCGACCAGAGATTGGTATACAAAATCACATAAGATTATTGAGATACATAACTTATTAGCTAATTCAGGTGTTTTACCACAAACATAGGTTCATCTATTACTTTGGGAATTTCCTAAAAAAGCTGATAGGTGATATTCTGACAGGGAACCAGATAGAAACAAAGTTAGAGGGTGCAGGATGCTTATCAAAGTGTGTAAGATTATCTGTGAGCTTAGCCATGATGTATAAATCCCAAATCTTTTTATGCCAGTGTGAAAGTGTGGGTGTCGTTGTCGTTTTCCAGTATGTGGCAATGACACTTTTAGCAGCAGAAAGCAACAGAGAGACCCTTTCCATCTTAGAAGAAGAAGAACTACGCTTTGCCACCCATCTGTTCAAAAATAGGCTTTCTGGTATAAGAAGAATATCTAGATGCGTGATCCGGTCTAGTACAAATTCCCAAAACGGAGTGATTTTGGGACAGTAGACCCAACGGTGCAAGGAGTTCCCATTAGTTTGGTGTAGTGGTTAAGTGAGAGCCAGTTTGGTGTAGTGGTTAAGTTTTGGGACTCTAATTATCTGGGAGAACGGGGTTTGATTCCCCACTCCTCCACTTGCAGCTGCTGATGTGACCTTGGATCAGTCACAAGCTCTGGCACAGCTGTCCTTGAAAAAGAGCAGTTTGTGTCAGAGTTCTCTCAGCCCCCACCCACCTCACAGGGTGTCTGTTGTGGGGAGGGGAAGGGAAAGGAGTTTGTAAGCCGCTCTGAGACTCCGAGTGAAGGGCGGGGTATAAATCCAATCTCCTCCTTCTCCTCCTCTTCCTCTTCTTCTTCTTCTTCCTCTTCTTCTTCTTCTTCCCCCCGCATTTTTTCCAGCACTTCGAACTACGAGATGGGTTTATGTGAGCCAATTTCTAGGGTGTGAGATACCAGTGTGAGAGTATAAAAAGGCAGAACCCTTTTACAGAAACTTGCATGAGCCTGTGTCCTTCCTTCTGCTCAGCCAAGTCTGAAGCCTTTTTCTAGCCAGAGGAGCCTTACTCCGATGGGAGAGGCTCTGAAGAGGAAGGAAGGAAGGAAAGGCTCCTGGGATAGAGGAAGTCTTCATACTCGGTTGAGAGGATACAGGTCATTGTCCTTGAAAGAACCTTCTACAGAGCTCTGTGAGCTCTTATAATACCTAAATGGAGCCTTCCTGTTCAGAGACAGTCTACTGCGGAGTTCTCGGTGCTGGTGACGAACTGGAGGGAGGTCCCCCCCCCCAACTTGCAAATGTCATAATCCACGCCAACTCCTTTGAGAACCTATTTGCTGCTGTGACCCAAGGGACAGTGCTTAAGATGTCCAAAGGATGTGTTCAAAACAGCACAGAAAGATTTAAGACTATTTTGGCTGAGAATGGACTGGAAAAGTTAGTCTAGCAATGCTATCATCTCTGCAAGCGAAAATGCTTATTTTTTTTAAAAAAAATCCACAGTACAGTTTGGTTAAGTAAACCAATTAAATATAGCGCTGAAACTGATATAGTAGCCTTTCCCACATGCACGTACACACGTTTCTCTGCACTCATTTTAAGAAAGCGAGTACACGTGAAGAAGCACATTAGCAATTTATGGCATTCAAGTGAACAAAACGCTTGAGATAAATATAATTCCAAAACCTGAATACAGTGACTCCCCTTTGCAGAGATTGAGTCTGACAAATGCACATGTGCCTGTTCAAAAGTGAAAACAATCTCTTTTTTTGTTCCATGGTAGATGGAACAATATCTTAAAATGGGACAACTTCGTTGCATTCTGCAGAGCTACAAAAAAATAAAATAGCCAGAACAGAGAACTTGCTTTTGGTTCATGAAAATGTTTATATCATAACTTTCTTTTCTCCCCCCTAACACTGAAAAAACTATTTTTCTATACAGGGAGTGAAGTATCTCTGCATCCCAGCAGCTGATTCACCCTCACAGAACCTGTAAGTATTTTTGTAACAAAAGGTTGCAATTGAATATGTTGATCGGTTTTACTTAATTGCTGTACTGTGTTTTGTGAGAAGCAGAGTCAAAAAGCCATGTTGCCGACCATGGTTTTCTGAGAGCCAGTTTGATGTAGTGGTTAGGAGCGCGGACTCTAATCTGGGAAAACTGGGTTTGATTCCCCACTCCTCCACTTGCAGCTGCTGGTATGACCTTGGGTCAGTCACAAGTTGTCTCAGAGCTGGTCTCTCACAAGCAGTTCTCAGAAGAGCTCTCTCAGCCCCACCTACCTTACAGGGTGTCTTGTGGGGAGGGGAAGGTAAAGGTAAACCACTCTGAGACTCCTTTGGGTAGTGAAGGGTGGGGTATAAATCCAGTCTCTTCCTCCTCCTCCTCCTCCTCCTACACCAGTTTGGTGTACACCAGTTTGGTGTAGTTGTTAAGTGTGTGGACTCTAATCTGGGAGAACCGGGTTTGATTCCCCACTCATCCACTTGCCCCTGCTGGATGACCTTGGGCAAGCCATAGTTCTGGCACAGCTGTTCATGAAAAAGAGCAGTTTCTGGCAGAGCTCTCTCAGCCCCACCTACCTCACAAGGTGTCTGTTGTGGGGAGGGGAAGGGAAGGGAAAGGAGTTTGTAAGCCTCTCTCAAACTCCTTTCGGTAGTGAAAGGCGGGGTATAAATCCAGTCTCCTCCTCCTCCTTCATAAAATGTTAGATTCCTTCCCTACCATAAAGCTAATGATGTAGCATGGGAATAAAACAGAGGTCACTCTAAGAAAATTTGTTCCAGCATCAGCTGTCGTGGATCATAGCTTGCTTCATCAGATGGGTGAGTTCTTGGTCCGTCGGTCCTTTTTATATAAACAGCAGGGAGGCGTGAGGGATGTATGCGTGCCTATAAATTGGACCAGTGGATTTACACACAAGCGCATCTGATAAAGTGACTTCTGACTCTCGAAAACAATAAATGCATTTTATTAGTATTTAAGGCGTCACTGAGCGACCTATTTTTATTTTGCTACGGCAGACTAACTTGCCCTACCCATCTGGAATCACATACGGATGCTCTCTATCTAACCTGCCTCACAGGGTTGTTTATGAGGGTAAAAGGAAAACCATCCCATGCGAGTAGCCTTGGGCTGCTTGCCAGTGTCTCAGGTGGAGTTGCCAACCTCCAGGTGGGGGCTGGAGATCGCCTGGGATTACAACTGATTTCCGGGCGTCAGAGATCAGTTTCCCTGGAGGAAATGGACCCTTTGGAAGGTGGACTCTGTGACGTTATATATCCCCTACAGAAGTTCTTCCCCCCTGCAGACCCCGCCCTCTTTAGGCTCCACCCCCAAAATCTCCAGGTGTTTCCCAACCCCAGAGCTGGCAACCCTCATGCCAAGGTAGAAACATGATAAACACACAAATTAATAAAATTGTATTTGTAAGTCTGATAGTTGGCCGTAGTTGCCCTTGGCCAAACCCACAAATCAGAGGCAACCTGGGTACACCGTAGGCTTGCCAAGTCCCCCCGTTCCCCACCGCCGGCGGATCGGCCCGTTCCCCACCGCCGGCGGATCGGGCCCCGGGGGGAACCCCACCCCGATGTGCACGTCACTTAGAAGTGACGTGACCACACCGGCACGCTGGGGGCAGGGCCACGGTCATCCAAGGGGAAACTCTATGGTGTCCCCTCGGATGGTCGTGGCCCAGCCCCCAGCGTGGTCGCGTCACTTACGGGTGACGTGGATGTGGCGCACATGCGCTTCGCCGCACATACACGCACTCCAGCCACCAGCCGGGAGTTCCCCACTGCGGCGAAAATCAGACTTGGCAACCCTAGTACACCGGTGTGTGTGTGTGTGTCTCCTTAAACTGTTGTTTTTGCTGTCTTCCTAGAGTGGCAGAAACAAGAAGGGGGGGAGGGAAGAGACTGTAGAGCCTCCGGCAGGTCGCAGTACAATACTTTGCCAGCGAGTTGCATTTAACTTGCTGGCTCATAGGTCGGGCAAGCCATCCTTTAAAAGGCCTTCAAATCAGCCCTTTGTTCGTGCCAGATATTTCAGTTCAAGAATGTTTGGAGTGTCTTTCGTCCAAAAGCTAACTGCACAAACGTTCGTAAGAAGTCTTGGCTGTGAACCAAGTTTTTCTTCTAGTGCTCACTGTTTATGCTTATGATGGGGGGGTGGGCAGCCACTTCCTGAAAAATTGTTCGATAGAGAAACAAAAGTAATTTCAAAGGGCCCGCCTGAGGCCTGCGGAAGGAAACGTAGTGCCGCCTTTTCCCTCAGATTGCAGAGCTACCTGTTTGACCCCGATGTTCTCAAGATATTTTAACCTATGCGTTTGTCTTTTGTTGAGTGATGTGGCAAATGTTGCAGCGCGTGGTTCCAGTTGATTGAGAAGGTTGGTTGGCTGTCTCTTAACTTGTTTTTCCAATTTTAAAAAAATAATGAGTATTATTCCATCCACATCCATGGGGTGTCTCACAGTAGAAAAATGCAGTAATATCCCAAAGCCCAAATAGCAGCTAATGGACAATTTCAGCCTGGACCATTTTATCTGGCTGTTGGGAAGGTCACTAAATATCAGTCACAGTTTGACAATAAGAAAATCAAAATAAAGACGTTCTGTACTGGGATTGCCAGCTCTCCCCTGGTGGCAGTTAGGGTTGCCAGCGCCAGGTTGGGAAATTCATGGAGATTTGGGGGTAGAGTTAGTAAGCTGGTGGCAAGTTGATTATGGAGCCTGACCACTGAAGTCTCAAAACGCACATCTATTGATGATTGTATGTTAGAGTGTATATAAATAATTTGTAAACCATACACAGGCTGAGCCGCTCAAACAACCTTGAGGCAACGCTCCCTCTAAGCTGTGGAGTCCTGTGAGCAAAAATTCTACTTTGTGAGCTACTGGCATTACAGTCGTGAGCAAACGATTTGGCTACTGCATAAATTAGTTTGCTCTGGAGCCGTCCTTCCTTTTTTTTTCTTTTGTCTTTTTGGAGCCCCCGGAGGGGATTTTTTATTATTTTTTATCAAACTACAAAACTACTACAGAAAAAAAGGGAAGGGGGGACTACATATATAGGATAAAGCAAAAGAACCCACTACTAACTAAAAACCCAAGAGAGGAGATCTTCACTAGCTTAGTTACAACAAATCTTCACTTCACTTAGATTATTATAAACTGAGTCAAACATTTATATTACTTTTCTTTTTCTTTAAATCTTAAATTTAACTGTCTAGAAACAGTACCCCCCATTCATCCCCATTCAAAATTCTCCTTCAGCCTTCACTTCTCCTTTCCTCGTCTCTTCCATAGCTTATAAGGACTTTTTGGAGCAGCTGCCCCTTGCTCTGTCAGAGAGTCCTCTCCGGAAGAACCCGAGTCCAGCTCACCACTAGACTTGCTGTCCTCTTCTTTTTCCCCGTCCTCTGGTCTTCCCAGCTGAACCCTTAGGAATTCTTGAGCTTTCAGAACAGAGTCAATCACACGTTTTTGTCTTAGCTTTGGAGCCGTCCTTCCTGAGCTAAGACAAAAACCTGAGCTAAGGCTAAAAAAACTGTGAGCTAGCTCGCACTAACTCAGCTTAGAGGGAACACTGCCTCGAGGTAACTCATTCTGTTCATGAAACACCCCCCCCCCACCGCCACCACTGCTTTTGGCTGTTGCTATCTAAAGCTATCTATGTCTGTGGCCACCAGTGTTCCCTCTAAGCTGAGTTAGTGTGAGCTAGCTCACAGTTTTTTAGCCTCCAGCTCACAATTTTTTGTCCTAGCTCAGGAAGAATGGCTCCAGAGCAAACTAATTGATGCAGTAGCCAAATGGCTCGCTCACAACTTTAATGCCAGAAGCTCACAAAGTAGAATTTTTGCTCACAAGACTCCACAGCTTAGAGGGAACATTGGTGGCCACCACTATCTCCACTGGCAGTGAATTTCCCAGTTTAATTACTTCTTGAGTAAAGAAGTGTTTCCTCTTCTCTCCTGAACCTATTTCCCAACAATTTCATTGCATACTCTTGAGTTCTAGTATTATGGGGGTGAGGGAGCTCTCTCTATCCGGTTTTCTACCTCATGGATAATTTTATAAACCTTTATCATATCTCTCCTTAGCAGTATTTTACGAAATGTGTATCCCGCCTTTCTGCCTTCACAGCGACCTCCCCCCAAAAAACGATTAAAACGATTAAAACAGAGCTAAAATGCCTACAAAGACGTAAAAAACTGCGATTAAAAACATTGGTTGGGAAGGAGGGATCACAAATGACACAAAAAAGATCGCCCTCTGGTGGAAGAAGGCAGCAGAAGGGGGTAGACATCTCCCTGGGGGGAGAGCTCCAGAGGTTTGGTGCCATGACCGAGAAGGCCCTGTCACGGGTGTTGACCTACCAAATCTCCGAAGGCAGGGGCACCCGAAGCAAGGCCTCTGGGGATAACCATAATGGTCAGGCAGGTTCGTGAGGGATTGGGCAGTGTTTCAGGTATGCTGGTCCCAAACAATATAGGGCTTTGAATGGTACCCAGAAACAAATTGGGAGCCAGCGTAGATGGGCCAAGACTGGAATAATATGGTCGCTGTGACCCACTCCAGTCGACATCCCAGCTGCAGCATTCTGTACCAGTTACCAGCTGAAGTTCCTGAAGGGCAGGTCCACATAGAGCACACTGCGATAATCAGGTCTAGATGTAACCAGGGCAAGAAAGGCCACAGCAGGCTAGCCAAGGCAGGTAAAAGGCCGCACCTGCCCCCGGCTTCTCCAGCAGTAGCCCTGGGTCCAAGAGGCACACCCAGACTACGGACCTGATCCTTGAAGGAGAGTCCCCACTCCATCCCGAATGGGTTCCTCTTAAATCCCGGGTCAGACCTTCCGCCCACCGTTAGCGCTTCAGTCTTGTTGGGATTAAGCTTCAGATTATTACCCCACATCCACTCCAAAATTGCCTCCAGGCGCCAGTCCAGGGGTTTTACAGTCTCCCTGGGATCAACCAGAAGAGACAGTGA